TTTAGAATGCGAGGGCTCTTTTTTTTTTTTTATTTTTTTATTTCTTGCTTCCTGTGTGTTTAAGTATAGCAGATGCTATAGTCAAAAGCCTGCTGACAGCTTTGCTAAAGATTGGAGAGGTGGTGTGGAATACAGCTGCCTCATTTTCTCCAGCTGAGTTTATTTAGTCTGCATAAAAACTTTTGTCATTAGTTTTGCTTTTTTAAAATGAGCCTTTTGTCACTGTCTTCTATATTACTTTATTCTTGCAAAGCTGAAGCCACTAGATATGTGGTATATATTTCAAGCCAGACTCTGTGTGTGCTTTCTCAAGATTCTTCTTCATGAAAGAGGCAATGGTAGCTTTCTGCTAATTAAGAGCTGCTCTTAATTTGCTGCACTTTCCTCTCCTGAAAATAGATCCACTAGTCTCATTTATTTAATTTTAAAATACTCTACTGAGCAACTTGGAAATGCTGCCAGTGAGCTGAAGTGGAAGACTGGGAGGTCTAAAGACTCCTCAGTGTGGTTGTGCTCTAACAATGTGATGCAGAATTCTGTTGTGCTTAGCAAAAAGCCTTTCAACGCGTGAGGATGCTGACCCTCATTCACTAAAGCACGTGAATTTTAAGAAAAGGCTGTGTTGCAAAGATGGCTCGTGAATGGCTTAATGTCAAGATATCTTTCCTGCCTTGGTTTTTAGTGGGTGTCATTGCTCCCCCACTCAGAGTTTAGACACCGGTGGCAGGCACTTCTGTAAGCATGTTATTTTCTGCGTGATACCTTCATCGCTGATGACGTGGTTTATCATCGGTCTGGGAGAGACCCCAGTGCTCGATGCTGCCAGTGGTGCTCCTGCCCCTGTGGAATCAGAAGCGCTCTTTATCCCTGGGGTTTGTAGTATGTTGTTTCTATGGACTGCACTCACAGTCTGCCATCTCCTTCTCTGTAACGGGACTTTCCAAGAGACAAATAGAGGTATTAGAGTTCCAGATATTTCTGTGCAAACTGTATGCAAGTTTTCTTAACCTCCCTGATCATAAATCTTTCTTAGCTGTTGCCTAATATAGAAAGTGTCTATTCTTGGTTACAGACACTTAGCTGTGTAATTTAAAGCCCGTGAAGTGTCTTTTGTCAGATGGCAGATTTGATGCTGGAATTGAGTTGTTCCCTAGCAGACATTGTCATATCATGACAATACCAGTTTGATGCTTCCAAAATTTATTTTAAAGACCTTTATTGTTGATCAGTGGAAAGTGCTGTGAGTTTATCCTGAGTGTCATCACTTCTTGTAACGTGTGGTATGGTTTCCATTTTGTTTAGTGCAGATGATGATACTAATGTATGAACAGTAATTTATTACTGCACCAGATTCACACAGCGCTTCAGAAATGTGAGAAAAGATACCCTCTTCCCAGAGTCCATGCATGTTAAAGGAACCTCATAGTTCACTGAAGTTAGTCTAGATTCTTTTTGAGTGAAAAACCTGGCTAAAATTAAAATAAAAAAAAATCAACACTGACTGCTTAGGTACTGTAAATTTGAGGTGTGTGGTTTGAATCTGTTTTTTTAAAGTCTATTTATTCAGAGTATCCAGGCTCTTGGAAATCAAGAATGTAAAAAGTTACATAAAATGAGAATACTTACATTGGAAAGGTGTGGATAAAAGAAAGGAAATTTTAATTTTTGTTTTTGAAAAGCATCCCATGGTCCCATCAAGCCCTTCTTCATGCTTGAACATATGCTCTACATTTCTGTCAAACCGAAGTGATTCAAATGCTTGTACAACCTTCCCTCCCAAAACCTCGCTCACTCTGTGCTTGCCTAGAATATGACATAGCAGGAATTGCTCAGGCCCAACTGAAATGGCCTAATTTTTTTGTCGATAATTGTCAGTAACAGTTCTGGACCTTGTATACTGTATTCCATGTGCAAGCCTACACTGCTTAGCTGCGTGGCTACTGCAGTGGCAAACTTTAGCAAGAACATATAATGTTATTGGATTTTGGAATGGAGAAGACAAACCCAAATATTCCTTGTCCCAGTCTACTGCCTCCATTTTCTTAATTCCTTTTTTTGAGATAAACTACTTTATGGCACAGATGTTCTGATTTTATTTTTTCCATTTCTAATGCTATCCACTGTCTCATCTCTTATATGGCAGGATGATTTCCAAATTTGGAAGGAAGAGGATAAGTGTGTATGTGTAATATTTTACATATTTTATTTTAGACATGTTTGGGAGGAGTACAGAATGCTGTGTATAAAGTATATTGATTTAGAATGTAATACAGCTTTCATTCAATATTGCTTATTTTTTTAACGTCAGGAGTCTATGTTGTCTGAAATGTTTATTATGACAGTAGCTATCCTTTTTATAATTGGTACTTCAAATAAAAAGTGACTGCTATGTATAATGAACAACATCTGTTACTGCATTGTTAATCCTTTAATAACAGACTTTTAGTGAGAGACAATAATTTAGTATTTGATAAAGTGCTTATGTGGATCAAAATTAAATGTGGAGACATCTAGGCATGAAGAGGATGAGCAGAAGTGTTCCCACTGGGTGTTCAGTGAGAATAGGATACGTAAATTGTTTAAGCTGCGTTGAAATCTTAAGCTTTAGTGCGTGGAAGAGTTAGAACAGAAAAATAGCCTCTGCTGATTTTCCTTCACACCACTTTTCAATGGTATCCTACCACGTGCTTAAAACATTTGTCTTGAGGATTTCAGTAATGTTTCCAAACTCCATGTGAAGCTGGAATTGTAACTTTGAGCACCAACTCATACTTAAAATTTTGTCTAAATGGAGAACTAAAATGATGACTATTCAGACATTTTAGATGAAGTAGTTTCTTTGATGCAAAAAATGTTATTGGGTTCTGTCTTTGGAAGTATGATCACTTACTGTGCTTGATGGAATAGTCCTTTGAATTGTCAACATTCATTGTTCAGGAATGCTTTGAAGGTCAGTGTGATGACTGCAGTTTTGGAATTGCTGAGGCATGGATCACAGACTAATGAGAACAAAAATGCACTTGTAATTTGCTGAATGTAGTCTGTGATCAAGCTAAGTCATAGAACAGACTTCAAAGTGCATTTTGCAGGACACTAAAATGTTGATAAACAGTGATAGCTCACTGTACCAAGAGAATTTGATACAAATATTTCCAAGCTTTGATATGTTTGTAGTTAGCTTGCAAAAATGCTCTTCAGAGCACGTTTTTTTCAGGTATATTCCCAGAAAAAAAGTGGTATGGCGAAATGGGATCCTTCATTTCTACAGTAAGTGTCATCGGTCTTTTAAGCAACCAAAGATATCCTTGTTCATGTGTAGTATCTTATAATGGTCACATATAGGTTTGGGCCAGTACAAAAGCCTTATTGTACTAAAACCTTTGCCAAGGCACAAGGGATGTCTTCTGCAGACTTGTCTTTGTCACCTTTTGTTCTGAAGAGATGGGTAGAGACAGGCTGAGGAAATCATCACAGAGTGGAATCATCTTACTCAAAGCCTTAAATTGTCCATGGCTAAACCCGGGTTAAAAATGGTTCTGTTCCAGTAGTCTATCTGCAGTTACTTTCTAGAGTTTATCTGTTTAAACATGTGAAGTCAGTATCTTACTGCTGGTTGTGAGTTATTATGGAATGTTTCTGGGAGATCCAGCTATGGTTGAGGCCTGGGGTATTTCATTTACCTTGGTCAGTCCTGTTTCATATGCAGGTTCACTCATGGTACAGCCTGAAGTACTGCGTTGTAATAAGGAAATGCAGAGAAGAAACAGTTTAACCAATCCATAGGGAAGTGATCCCAGAGGTAGGACTTAGGAGGAGATAAGACATGGCGATGACTATGAAGTGATTTAAAAGCCTTTATACAGATCCAGTTTCTTCCTCCCCAGTGCCAAGATTTCTCTAAATGAGAGAGGTACATATATGAGAACATGAAAGAACATAAGTTTTTCAGTCATATAGAGGCCCACTGCAAGGCCCGATCACCAACAAATGTTTCTTTTTGGTTGAAAGTGTGGATCATTTTATCCAGAAATGTTGTGGCCAAATTCTTCCTTGTTGTCTCCCATAATAGAGCCCTTCTCTCTACAAAAGGCAGTGAGAGAGGGCAGAATTTGACCATTCTCTGAATCTGCCTTAATAATTAAAGAACTGTGGTCATTTACCTTTTTTTTTTTTTTTTTTTTTTTTTTTTCAGACTGAAATGCTTTTAGTAAGTTTATTCAGAAAGGACTAATGCATCCTTCTTGCCAAACATCTGTTAAATTGAAGGAAAATGTTTTCATACAGCTTCTAGGCCTGTTTTTTTTTGTTTTTTTTTTTTTTTCTTCAGAGAGAGAGAGAGAGAGTATCTAGTTTGTGTTTTGTGATATCAGCTTTTCCTGTCCCTCCTCCCTGGATGGGATCCCAATAAAAGAGGCAGTTCTCTGTGCTGTGGGCTTGATGCCATTCCATTATGTCTCTGTGTCCCTGGATGAAAATGTAAAGCTTTGTGTGCCACAGGTGGCTTTGATAAAAGGGGAGAAAACATGCTTGAAAAGCCTTAAACTATTCTGTGTGTCCATTCTTCCCTTTGCGCTGCCTTTTGAATGTTCTGAAATAAAAGTAACAAAAAACCAACAAACAAAAAACCCCAACCAAATTATTAATTTTTCCAGGAGGGGGGAAGATTTCTGACTAATTCTGATCCTTGAAATTGAACACTCAAAGTGATTTATTATAAGCTTTGGTTTTAAGTGACTGTGCGAGGTAAGAGCAAAAATTCAGACAGTCCTCTCTCTTCCATGGTGTTCCTGCGCACAATATGTGAAGCACGCAGGTATGCTGTAGGGCATATCAGTAAGCAAGAAGCTTTCCTGGAGAGTCCTGCATATGCTAACTTGTTATGTATTCCCATTAGGTACTGTGATGAGTATTTATTTCTCTCTCAATTACTAGTTCTCACCCTGACTTTTTTCTCATGTTAGTCACTGCAATCTATTCTGTTCTCCTTTTTCCTCCTACAGAAGAGATGGTGGAGGGAAAAAGTGCCATTCTCATAGGCATGAGCCAGTGGAACTCAAATGACCTTGTTGAGCAGATAGAAACAATTGGGAAGCTGGAAGAAAATCAAGGTAATGTTTAGCTTGCCTTACATATAACTTAAAGTTAACAAGAAAATCTGGTTACTGAAGCAATTAGTTGTCAGATACTATATAAACACTCAACAGAAATATAATTTACAGCATCCCATAGTTAAAAGGTTTATATAGATGTGTAAGTATTTTAGTGCTGGGAAATAAATTGCAATGATTTCTTTCAGGAGGAAACTTCTCTGGCAGGCCAGGTAATACAAATTTATGGCGTCAGCGGGAAGTCAATGTTGGGTTCAGCTCAACAACTATGAGAGAGCTTACGAGACCACAACTTAGCTTTGCATGTTTCCTGTAATCAACATACATACCAGATTTGTCACTGTCACTGGTTTACTTTGCTCCTTCAAGTCAGCAAGTCATTATCTGGAATTTTGAAGGGGACATATACTTCCAGTTGTATTTGGGGCCAGTTTTAGGTCAACATTTAGGTAACTGTGTGCCACTGAAATGAGTGGGAAATGGGCACTGGTACACCAGTAAGAATCTGGGCCCTGGGACAGAAGCCTAAGAAGTCTTCCTTTAACTGTTACTTTGACTCCTAAATTGCCTAGTAAAGTTAAAATTACCTCATTGACTTTAGGGAGAGAGAAGGACTCAGCTTCCTCATCTGTTGGTGGTATGGGGCTCATGTGTAATACAAGAATGTGTGCTTTTTAATTAATCTAGCTTTTTAGAGAATTTGATGGGTTTGTCCATTTCAGGAGCCTTTTCAACAGGCTTTTCTTTATGGATTTGCTACATGTAGTCAGTCCTGAAGACAGCTGTGAACAGGTCTATTTTAGAATACAGATATATAGAAGTAATATTTATCTGAGTCACTTGATTACTTATCATGAGAATGATTTATTTTGATGGTATTTAAGTGACAGGTAGACACATTACACATAGTGTATTTAGAATGCTTAAGTAGGTAATTAGAGAGGAAAAATTTCTCTGGTTTGCATTTGCTCTTAACAATGATATCAAGGCCTCACGTTGCTTGGTAACTTCATTTGGAGTCAGATTCAGTGACAATTTGTAAGATATACTCTGTGTTGTAAATATGCCATTTTCTTTGCTACGAAGTAGCAAGAAAATTAATACAGTATTGCATCAAATATGAGTTGGTATTCTAAATGGCTTGCCAAGAACTAGCTATCTTGCATTCTTGCAGGTATTTCTTTATTTCTTTCAGGGCTGGCAAAGATTTAGCATGCTTATTTTCATTTTAGCACCCGTTATATGAGGATGGTTTTGTTTGTTTTTTTCATAGCGCCCTTTGTGTTGGACACTAAGGAAGGAGTTGTAAGAGACCATTTTTAAGTGTTTCTACTGTTACAAAACAAGGCTGGTAAAAGGATTGTTGCTTGCATTATGCAGTTGTATAGCTGCAGCAAAGAGAACGTGAGACCCAGGGTTGCATGGAAGATCTGTACAGAAGCAAATGAAGCAGTCCCCTGAGCTGCAGTCCATCCTTCATACAAAGTGCTTCTATTTTCATTTAATGTTATTCTCTGTGACGCTTTGTAAAAGAAAGAACTCTCATCCCTTTTCTTAATTTCTGTTCACACGGAGCTGTTGGAAGAGGCTTTAGAGCCAGTGTACCTACACAGCATTTGGTGAATTGGCCTCTCTGTCGATGTATTTACATCCTGATACTGCTTCACGTGCGCTGCAGTCTGCTGTGGCTTTTAGGTCATGGTTCATTGTGCTGGTTTTGACCTTTCTTCAATAGAGACATCGGGCAAGGGCTGAAGTCATTAAGAACCGGGCTAGCACAAGTCTGTGCCAGTGTTATGTGTACCATATCTCGTTATGCCAGAATGTGGTTTCACTGCTTCAGTAATGCACAAGAAAGCAGAGTTCTGGCTGTAATGCACACTGCCAGTTAGCAATTTTCCCTGATGCACCCCTGCTAATACACAGGATTTCTAAATAAGTGAGGCAGTTATGTGCTTTTCCTTCTTTCCTCTGCCACCTTATACTCTCAGATTTAGTCTTATTAATTAGATACTTGTTGATTTTTTTTTAATTGCTGTTTTTTTCTTTTTTTCCTTACATATGCTCATCTGTATCTTCATGGAATTATCTTCCAAGTGCTCATAGGTTGAATTGCAGAGGTGTTAGTGTAGATAATTGTATAGAGCTTTTGTTACAGCTTAACAGGACTGGATAGTGTTACTGATTCAGCAATTTTAGAAAAGTCTGTGATTAGCAACCATCACATACAAATGATAAAAGCGAAGACGGAAGGAGGGGGATGTTTGAAGGAAGTCCGTGTTGTTTTCTGTGCCACAGTAGAAGATATTTAAGCCTTAGCTCTACTGTTCATAGTAAAAAATTAAAAGTTTGGGTGAAGCTGGATTCTGTCTTTAGAAACATTACGTAGAAGAGAGAAAGTTGTCCTATATGGCTTCTTTCCCAGGGTACTTCACTCGTTGAGTGGGAAGATGTGAGGAGTGTGGTCTGCTGATCCAGGGAAACTCCCCCTTGCCCCCCGCTGTATTTACTTTCCGCTGGCAGAGGATGGTGGGTTCGCTGGCGTGGGCTGCAGAGAGCTTTGGTACCATGCACATGCAGTCGGTCTCCAGGGCCAGTGGTTTTGCTAGGTGCCTGTGCAGAGAGCAGAGCGCTGGTTCTTTTTCATCATTTAATAAATTGATTAATAAAGCACATAATTATGGGCTCCTTCAACAAATGAAGAAGTATGAGAAGATGCAGCATGCTCTGGGTATAGCTGAAGACCCACAGGATGCCACTTACTTAAGGAATGCTACAGTTCCAATGTGAGACAGACAAGGTCCTCAGGAACTTTGTAAATGGCAAGTTTATAATTTAATTCAATCATTGATTCTCAGTAAGTGTGACTGAGAGCACTTGACCAGCACAACCTTTCTCATCAGAGGTAGAAATAAGACTTTGGGAGAAAAATGGCAGCAGCATTTAAATGTATTAACTTTTTGTTACAGAAAATAACACAAACAGCAACCAAGCTGAATTAAAAACTCATACAGCTGCACAAATTATGTTGATGCAGATGCTGTCCCTGTTGTGGAACAAAAACATTTTCACACATCATAGTCATGCATTTAAATTCACCCCTGGTGCAAAATATCTGTTACGTGAAGAAAAATTACGTGTAGCGAGCACTAGGATTAACTTCAACCTGTTGGATTTCAGTGCTTTGCATTTCCCCCAGCTACCTGGAGTTCACATTCTTACTTTAAGTATATATTGTTAATGTCTGTAAGGTTGAAGTTGTTGTTGGCTTGTTTTTGTACTCTTGACACAGTAGAGTGAAGGTGAGGTGAAGGAAGTTTTTGCAAATACAGAAAGACTATTTGTATAATATGAATTCAATATATGCTTTCTGTTTCATTACTTTATATTATATATATATTTCTGTAGTTTCTTGGTAGCGGGAAATGAGGTTACTATAAGTTTTGACTGGCAAACCAGGCAAATGCTTGTTACAGAAAAAAATGTAATTCAATCCAAGCTAGTAATCAACATGTAAACTTAAACCTGTGTCAGCATTTCAAGGGCTGAAACCCTCGGGAAAGAGTGCCATAGCTGCAGTACATATTACCTGTGAGGTCAAGACATGTTTGTTTGAGACCAAACCTGCATAAGACTTAAAATAAGGTCACGTGAATAGTAGGGTTGTCCTTTCTCCCTCAGTTGCCTGTTTTTGTTATATTTGGCCTTTTTTTAATGTGGACTTGAGAGCTGGAAAGTGTTATAAGCATTTAACATACCATTTCTTTCTTCTCTTCTCTCACACATGCAAATTAAAGTCTGAGGGAATCCAGAAACATCTGAAATGGATGAAGAATCACAGAGCTCCACAGGGAGATAATAAATGCTTGCCATTGCAGTTAGAGACAAGCAGTCCTGCTATGATTCCATCTCCATATACAGACAGCAGGCTTTCCTGCTCTTAGGCTTTCATTTTGTCATGTGTCGTCTGCCCCCCCCCCCCCCCCCCCCCCCCCCCCCCCCCCCCCCCCCCCCCCCCCCCCCCCCCCCCCCCCCCCCCCCCCCCCCCCCCC